GTGTCTAAAAATAAGGAGGAACACTCTCACACCAAATCTCTACCTTATTTTCACTCAGAAAGCTGGGTTGAATCCCTCTGTTTCAATCTACAATAGCTCTAGAAAAGTCAAAAGCATGAATAGAAACATTAAAGAGGAGGAAAATTGAAATGTAAATTAAAATAGAGGAAAAATAAGAAGAAAATAACTGAAATAAGAGTGTGCTTTGATTTGAAGAAAGAGTACTGAAGAACCAAACAGAAACGCTTTCTTTTCAAAATATTATTTTACCATTTGTCCAAAACCTGATGATATGCAGGTTAGAGGAACAATGATATTTTATTTCAGAAATATCTTGGGGTGGGGGAAGCAAATGTATATTTTTCCTACTTTATGTACTTGACAAACGAATAGAAAGAGGGCAAGCAGCTTGATCAAGGACAACCCAGGAAAGCCAGATGAAAGGGAAATAACATTGTTTGTCATGCAGGCCTTGCATCTTTAGGACACTGAACATCCTTGAAATTTGAGTACTGTGAAACCGTGTTGGAAAAATAGTATCAAGCGCAATTAGAAAAAAACAAAGTTTAAAATCATGTTTTTATTAAATACTATCTATAACATCACACTTGCTGAAAATAAAATCTGTATCACAAGTGTAGCCCCAAGGCCCTGAGTGAGACATAGTTAACTAGTAACATCCCACATTGCCTAAATTAGAGGGTTTGTTTCAAAGAGTCACTTCATACACCTTATACTCAGGACAATTCAGGACAAGCTGTTTGCTTGCTTGCCTGCTTTTTATTTGTGGTAAAATATGATAATACAAAATTTACCATTTTAATCATTTTTCAGTATACATGTCATTGCTATTAAGTACATTCACATTGTTGTGCAAACATCACCATCATCCATCTCCACAACTTTTTCATCTTCCCCAATGGAAGCTCTGTACCCATTAAAAATGAAATCCCCATTCTTCCCACAGCCCCTGGGAAATACGGTTCTATTTTCTGCCTCTGCAAACTTGACTACTCTAAGTATCTCACATAAGTGGAGTCATGCAATATTTGGCCCCTTGTAACTGGCTTATTTCATTTAGCACAATTTCCACAAGGCTCATTCATGTTGAACCGTGTCAGAAGTTTGTTTTTAAGGTGGAATACTATTTCACTCTATGTATATATCACCTTATATTTACCCATTCATTTGTCAGTGGACATTTTGGTGCTTCCATCTTTGGGCTATGGTAATAATGCCTCTATGGGCATAGATGTACAGATAGATGCTACAGTCCCTACTTTCATTTCTTTTGAGTGTACACCTACAGGCAGAATTGCTGGATCATATGATACATCCATATTTTTTTTTTTGAGGAGTCACCATTTCATTTTCCACAGTGGCTGCACCATTTTACATTTGAAATAGCAGTGCATAAGAGTTTCAATTCCTCCACATACTCAACAACACTTGTTACTTTCTTTTTTATTTTGGGTTTTTTTTTTTAAATAACCATGCATTTTCTTTTATTACCATTCCTGAATGACTTTAGGAATATTTAGTGAAGGTAAGGTCAACTTAAATATTGATTAACATACGGATATAGGATTTCAAACACTGATATGTCAGTCATTTTACGGTGTTTATTGGATAAATTATGGTATTTCTGATTTTATTCAAAACACTTAACTAGGACCTTGAAACCCTGCATATTCATCCTGGCCCTGCCACCACTCACCATCTGACTTTATGGAAGTGGCTTAATTTCTTTCATATTTAAAAAATTGGGGTGATAATTTCTCACCTTCTATATTCACCTGTTACTGTAATTGCCAAATTAATCAATTTAAAATTGCTTTGAATACTCTGAAATGATAGATTTATTCAAGGAATTATCGTTGAGGCTGCTGTATACATCATGGTGATTTTTGTTTACATTTTGCACATATAATGCACTTTAGAGAATACTTACACCTTGTTTTTTTTCCCTCAAATTGTTTTGTTATTATAATGTACACTCAGAATAGCAGTCATTAAGAGTTAATGCAACTGTGGATGGTATTAAGGTATTTATATTACTGAAGGGAGGTACTTTATTACTTCTTTGCTTTCTAATTGAATTATGGTCTTGTAATTCAGAAATTTGATTGAGACTTATACCCCTTAATTTGTCAGCTTCTTAAATTAGATCTGTTACTGAATCCAAGGTACTGTCAATAACAATGAAAATTAAAGCTCAGGAAATTCAATTTAATCTGTTGGTTTGACCAAGGTTTTGCTACCTATATTTGGATTTGCATGCAATTTCTAGAATAACTTTATTTTCTCCTAACATCCTTTTTATTTTGGTTAGCAGAAGTATAGAAATTCGAATACCTATTTGATTGATTGAGGAGGAGAGCAGTTTTTATCAGTGAACTGGAAAACCTACCTAGTACTTGTCATTTTCTAACTGGGACACGAACTAGCTTTTCAAAACCGTGAATTTTATTACTCCATTTAATGGAAAGATTGGGAATTCAAAAATTGACTTGTATGAGAAAAAGAGCAAATTTTACATTTTGCTGTAGCACTGGTGAATTTTGGTCTTTTTGAAACACTGTATATTTGCAGATGTCAATTTGCAATACCTCTCAATATCAAGATGGCCAGCAGGGTAAAATTACTGTAAAAGTTATCTGCAGCAGTACTATTACTAGTAACATTGTGTGCTGACACAAATGAAGTATTTTACCTGCAAGTGAGAAATAGAAAAAAATAAAAGTCCAAATGAATGTTTTGGGTAAAATCTGTAGCATAACAAAACTAAAAAGGAAATTGCAACTCTAAGAAACTCAGCTTTAAAAAATGATAAAAATATATACTTTAATGAAAATTAGAAAATTTATTCCTCACGTGTTTCCAGATGAAGCTTAGGAATTTGCAGGTCAAAATATTTTTTTTAAAAAGGAGATTTTTGTAAAATCACTGAGATTCTGATTTAGCAGTTTGTGGTGAAGCCTGCAAATGTATGATTTTTCAAAGCTTAATAGGTGACAGAGTTGGGAAGAACTATTTTATGGCATCATATGATTAGCTTTCCAACTGAATCACTTCATTATTTCTTGAGTTCCCCTGTTCATATGTAAATGGTTATATTTTACACAAATAAAAAACTATGCTTCAATTTTGGAGTTTTTCTGTTATTAAAAAAAGTATCAAGAGAGGTAAGAGCCATTAGACTTAGGGAACTTCAAGATTCCAGCAAGATTTTCCATAAGGATATTCTATTTGTTGGAAAAAAAAAAAAAAAAAAAAAGACACACAAACTTGAATGGCTTACTTGTGTCATTTGGACATTATGTGATCCACTCTCTGAGCTGGTTTCCTCTGTATACTCTGTTACTTCAGCCAAAAGCATTTAGTCCTTTGGGGATGTTGGAAGAGCCATTCAGTGCGGTAATTGAAATATTTTTAAATCTCATTAAAATATATGTGGCTAATTTGCATAAGGGCCTTAACATACATATTTTATACATATATTTTGTACTACTAAAAATGTGGTCTGGATTTTATCAGCATCAGTATCACCTGAGATCTTATTTAAAATACAGAATCTCAAGCTCACTAGAGTCCTTCTGATTCATAATCTTCATTGTAACAATATTCCTAGGCGATTCAAATGTAAAGTAACATTTAAGAAGTTCTGTAATTGAGTATGTTGGAAGAAATCTGTCTCCTCATCAGTGAACCTGTCTTAGGAGACTCTCACTTGTATTCTAAATTCTCTTTTAGTCTAGTCTTGGATTTAGAATACTACTTTCAGTCAAAATAATTTATTTGTATATTCTCTGAAAATCTGTTATTCAAAATGCTCACAAAGAAATCAGCTTCTTAATTTTCATAAACGTTTTTGGTACTTCCCACATGTAAGGCATTTAATCTTCATAAACATGCTATTTTTCATTTATGAAAATGTATCCAAATTAACAAGGTTAGTAGGCAGCTGAGTCAAGGTGTAGATCCAGGTAGCATGGTTCCCAAATTGATAACCACTCAAAGTTCAAGGGAGGAAGCTATCTGATGTTGGAAGTAACATTCAAATTATTAAATCTTTGTAATGATGATTCAATAGGTGGAGATACCTAACTGTGTGTTCCTATGCCAAGGATAAAAGTTAACTCCTGATATTTACATGAGACATATCATATACTCTAGTCACATTTGTCTATTTCACAACAGTATAATGAAGCTGGATTAATGTGTTCAATAAGCTGATAGATTGTGTTTTGTAAGAATAACTATAATTTGAAAAAAAATTGTTCTTTCTAAACAATTATCTATCTAGGAATAGTCATAATGGCTCACAGATGACTGAACTTTACAGCCAGACTAAACAATAGAGCAGAAAGGGAAATGTACAGATGTGAACTGAAGTCTCACGGTTGCATAATCACATGCTCTGTTGATAAATAAACGTCATGAACTGTGTTTCTTAACTTTAGGCGAAGGAAATCTAGGACAATTGGGGAAATTGTTTCATCTTTTTTCCTTTCCTTTATCCTCCCTTATTTTTACATAGGATACCCTGGAAATTGGCAATAAATAGTTCAGTTTGACACAACATCATATTTCCTATGGTAGGGTAAAGAATAGAAACATGAAAATGAATATTTTTTCCCTACCCAAATTAGATTTCAGATTAAGGAGCAAAAAGCAAAATACTTCCCATGTCTCCTCTGACTCTGGATGAAAATCCTGTTTTCTAGGTTAGTGAGCTATAAAGATTCAAGCTTTATCTATAAGAGAACAGAAGCAACTCACATGTCTATAGTTCAAGAAAAGTTTAAAAGGCTGTGGCTGAAAGAATTGGAAGAGAATTATGTGTGTCCACTAAATATATTATCAAGTTAAAACTCTTTTATAATGGGGAGAAGAGCTCGTGATGAGAGTGAAGAATACTGTAAAAGCAAATTTGCAAAGCTTATTGAATCAAATTTATGTCCACTATCATAAGTAATTTTTTTGATTTTGCCTTTCAGTGTGTATGTACAGAGAACCATCATTACATGAAATTGGAGAAAAACAAGGGCGTTCAAGGAAAAGTTCTGGAACACCAACCATGAATGGAGGCAAAGTCGTGAATCAAGATTCAACATAGCTGAGAACTCTTCCCTTCTTCCCTCTCTCATCCCTTCCCCTTCTCTTCCCTCCCATTTACCCATTTCCTTCCAGTAAATCCGCCCAAAGGAGAGGAAAATAAAATGACAACGCAAGACCTAGTGGCTAAGATTCTGCACTCAAAATCTTTCTTTGTGTAGGACAAGAAAGTTGAACCAAAGCTTGCTTGTTGCAATGTGGTAGAAAATACACATGCACAAAGATTAGCACACTTAAAAACAAAGGAAAAAATAAATCAGGACTCCACAAACATTAAACTAAACTGTATTGTTATGAGGAGAGAGCTAACTGTAATTAAGACATTAATAAAGATGAAATAAAGTTATTACTTTAAAGGAAAGGGTTTTGGAGAATTGAACTCAGAAACTGATGTTGTATACTAAACAGCTTAAACTCACGATAATGCTGCAATGTGTGGTTTTCTTGATTTTGTATTTTATTTGGGCATCTGGAATTGACACACCATTCTATTCTGTTTGCAGGATTTTTTTTTAACCATGAAATTGAACATTTTCAAATTATAAACTATTCAACAGACGGGATTGTGTGACCAGTTTAAAGTGGCGAAAAAGAACTCGGTGTAGGAGAAGGCAAATAGATAGCTAGGAATACTAAAGTATTTAAAAATATATATAGCCAGGAACCATTTATCATCAAGAAAAGTGTGAGAAATTATTTTTGAGGATGTAATTTAAGATCGTTTTATGTAAAAGGAAAGTCTTTTATTGAATCTAATAGCCTTAACAAATTTAATTATTTCATAAAAATAATTTCAAATTATCCTAGAGTATAACAGTTTTATCAAAGATATTATTTCAGGAGTTCTTTTTTTTTTTGTAGTAGTAGTAGTAGTTTAGGAAAAAAGTTAGTAACTGTTCTAATGCTGAAGTGACTTTTGAGAATTCTTTGCCAGTGCTATGTTCAGGTGGTGAGGTGTAAGTTAATTGCTCTTAGCATGTGGTCTGATTTTTTGCTTTGTGGACACCTTTGAGAGTATAAGCGCATGTTTGTTTTAGAAAGCTTTTACCCTGTCTTGCAGCAGGGAAGAAAGAAGAGGGGTTTTACATAAGGACATATGTCCTAGGAAATATTAGTCAATGCAAATTGCATTTGCCTTTGTACGTTACCAGGGTCTTACATCATTTTTCAAACTCTGCCATGAAATTGGGAGACATGACTGTGAAATTCCTAACTTACTGTCTTATGAAGCCAGTAGCTTATTTGTTGCCATATATATGCTCATTTACAAGTCCAGTTAGCAATTCGTTTGTTTCCTAGAACACAGAAGTTTACAAGTAATACACTAAATGTTCAAGGGGTGTAGAGAAATAATACGGAATTCAACAGCTATGGCTCCAACAGACAGGATTCTGTGAGCAGTTAAAGTAGCGAAAAAGAATTCAGGGTAAGAGAAGGCAACAACAGTTAAGAATACTGAAGTAGTTTTAAAAATCAGGAAGAAATAAATGTTATATAATTTGAATTGGAATAAATAGATCTATTTAGTCCTACAAATCAGGAGCAGTGTAGAGACATCAAAATTTAAAGGGAAAAAACACACAAAACAGAATGTGAAAAAAGTATGCAGATTTGTGGATATTATCAATGAGAAGACTTAGCATGTAACTTCTCCTATATCTCTACTGTCCAGCATGTATTGTTCCAAATATGACTCCCTAAAATATATACACTTTGCAGAAGCTCTAGGCCCTCACCTCAAACCTTGCCATTGGTTGTTGTATTTCAAGGTCAGCATAGTTTCCCTCACTTTACACAGTCATTATTCTTCAATAGTGGATCATATTCTTTACCAAGTATCCTATTTTTATTATCTAGAGGTAAGCAGAAAATGAAGGAATTTGCTTAAGCAGTTGGGAAGAACAAATGTTATGCATCTAGGGAAAGATTCTGAAGACACATTTGCAAGTGATATTTGTTTACCCAAAATATTTGGAAGGTAACAAAGACATTTAAATTTTCTAAAAACGGACTTGCTCTTATAGGAAAAGAATACCCTTGGGGACAAAATGTAACTCTAGCTGTATTTCCTCTTGTCACTCTTGATTCAACTTGATTATAAATATACCTGTCACTACCAGAACCAAAAAAAAAAAAAAAAAAATCCCAAACATAAAGCTTATTTTATTTGAAAAAGATAAAAAAGAAACTTCAACACAATGGGACACTGGCTCCTTTAGCATGAAATGACTTGAGATTTTCTGGTGATACACACACATACACACTCATCATAAAACAATTGATGGTTTCATAACACAATGGATGAAATTTATAAAAATCAATTACAATGATTTATGACAAAGTATATTTAAGTTGGTTATTAAAAAATAGAGATGAATCACTAACAAAATTTCTCTATATTTAGTGGCTGGTTATTTACCATCTAGAATCACATTTGTCACTTTCCTGATAGAAGTTAAGAAAGAATTCTAAGCACCCAATTTGTATATTGTTTTTCTCTGTATTATGTTAAGCAAATGTTCACTGCAGTAAAATGTTTTGGAAATTAGCTTTGTCTTATTTCCAATTTAGTTTAGATAATGAATTAGACATCTCATTTCTTTTACACATAAACCTGACAAAAATTGTAGCTTAGAGCAAAGGGTTAATGTTTGCTTAACTGCTGCTTGTTTTTAAGTACATTAAAAACTTTAATAGAATAAGCCCGTATTCACTGAGTTTTCAAAAATATTACCATATATAAATGTATAATATCCAACTTCATCCAAAAATATGATTGAGTTTATGTACTTTGTTTTTCAGGCTTATTTCAAGTAGAATAATTCTTTAATTTTCATTGTTCGGATTTCTGGGTCTTCAATTCATTCATCACTTACTCCTTTTTAAGTAAAATAAGCTTTTTTTTTTAAAATGTGCATTGGGATTTTTCCCAGGAAAAATACGGCTTTTAGCAATGATTTGCAATTGGCTATGCAGATATAAATTAAGGTATGTTTATTCTGAGTTCTTATTGGAATAAGCTTCAAAATCAATGAGCTTAAGAATGAAAACAAAACTGAGAGTCTCACAAAATAGCTCTATGGTCAATATACCTTACTTGATTTTTAAGCCCGATGAGTGAAGTATAGAAACAAATGGTGCTGAAATTCCATTTGCTCATTCAGAGACTTTTGTGCTTCTGCAAATTGGAGGGCAGCAAGCCACCCTATTCTCACAGTAATAGCTTTGGCTTTGAAATTTACATACAAATTTAATAGCACATTTTTAGCCATTATGCATTGGCTCAATAGACAGGAATGTAAAGCAATGTGATGCTTTATGGGCCTCATTGTAATTCGGAAAACTTGTTTAAAAGAACTCTTCTGTTTAATAAAATAGGAACAATCTAATATCTAGATTGGTGGTCCTGCATTGCCACTAGTGAGAGATGAGAGTATTAAGACAAGAATAAGGACAAGAAAAGACTTCAAGGTTGCATATTGAAAAGTTTGGAAGTCCTAATTTGGGACCACTGATTTCTTGGTGAAGAAGTAAGTATGACTACATTGCCAGTGATTTTTTTTTTTTTTTTAACATAGACCCAGAAACAGCAAATCTATTTCACCCTCATAGCTTAGTCTACCAGGCCTTGCTCTTGAGAAGATTTTCCATGATGTTGCTTAATTTCATCTGCACAAGATGAGACACAAACATAAAAATTCCCTGCTCATTTTAGTATCATAAAAGGCTGAGGTTATTTCTCTGTCATAAAATTGTAAATAGCATTTTTTAAGTCAAAATTACATTTAAAACAGTGAATTGTTCTACAAATATATATGTGTATATATACATATGCTTCTGAAATAAGGATATATTATATAGAGTTTTTATTTGATTTGTGGTCTGTAGTCATAGTTAAAAATAAAGAGATTTGAATGCAAAACTTTATACATTAATGTATATTTCTAATGATAGTACAAATTGCCACTTTATAATAAAAAACAGATGGGAATAATAATCAAAGCAAAGTACTGTTCCTTCAGTACTTTGGTGATTTTTAATCCCCCTTGAGATGCACAGGAAATTATTTTTTTAGTTAGAAAAAGTTATCTTAAACATCTATACTTCCCAATATGGATTTCATAATAAGTCATATCAGACTGAGAATTTGTGGTTGTAGAATAGGAACAGGATGCTAGATGCTGATTTTTATTTTTCAGGATTTTTCCTGGAGCCCAAGTTAAAGATACAGTATATAAGTCTAAGTTAAGTGAAGATTAATAATGTTCAGAAATGATATATTGAGCTTTAGTAACAGATGGAAGCAAAAATAAGAATATTTAACATTATGATAATAGCCCTAAAATAATGTAATAAAAAACATTGCATCATTAAATGTTCAACTAGTTGGAAAGAATGAGCTGATGTTTCTTTGTTTTTTCTCCAAGCACAATTTAAAGACAGTGACATTCATTTTACTCAAAATTGTTCAAAAAGTCCAAAACATACTCCCATGGCTAGAATTGATATTAGCTCCAATACAAGGTTAAATGTTACAATCTGAAGAAATTGACACTGAAATGTTTAATAAACATGTTGTATGAGAAACTAAGCAACTTAATGTTTCATTTTTGCATTAAAGCACAGATTATTCAAATAATTGTTTTCTAAGCTCAGATTTGTACAATGTTTACATATCACTACCTTCCTGGAGTGAAAGACAATTAAAATCCTGAGATGCTCATGCACGTAGATGAAATACTGGCACGTTTTTTAAAAATATTAAACTTCTTTGAGAAGTCTACCTATTTTTAGTGTGTTTATCTGATATTGCTGAAAAAGTGCTGGGTCTTCTTAAGAAAAAGATCAAAAATTGATTTATGGATGGAAAAGAAGTCCAATTGTATTAAGAGTCAAAGAAAAGTAAATATTTCTTTGTAATTATGTAGCTACTGGTACAACCTGACATTTTACTTTCAAGAATTAAGAACTAAAGTACATTCGTGTATTATTTTATTCATAACAGAACAACTAGAGGCACAGTTGAGTTTAGGCATCATAAACTAAATTGCAATCTCAAAAAAAAAAAAAAAAAGAAGAAAGGTAGACACGTAAATAAGTAATGTAATACCTAAAAGTATGTGCTATGATAGATGCAAAAAAGATTTCACATGCCACTGAGGATGCGACAAAGGCATCAGAGATTAGAGGCAAGACAGCGATTGAAAAAGAATAGATATTTGCTGAGTGATAAGAGATGACAAAGGCATCTCAAGGAGTAAAAAATCATTTGAATCAAAGATATGGATACTTGCAAATCAGGGCTTCCTTGGGAAGAGTGTTCAGAAAAGGAGGTGGAACAAAAACTGAGTTGAGATCAATAAGTTACCGAGTTGAGTTACTCCAAGGTTTTTCAACACAGACTTTGTATTTGTTTGAACATCTGTACCTGCTAGGACATTTCTGGTTGCGCAGACAGAATCCCCAAACCAAAATGGCACTTCATCTAGAATATCTATGTACACAGCATCAGCATCGAGGCTTAATTCGTCTGTAATTCTCTCAGCTCTGTCCACCTCCATGTCTAACTTCCCTCTTGAAGGCAGAAATTCCTTTAAAGTTTCAGAACCTGAATGCTTATATCATTTATTCTCTATTATAATCCCCTAGACAACATCTTACACTTCATTGACCTGACTTAGATCATGTGTCCATGCTTTAATGACCGACCATGGCCAGAAAATTGAGATATGTTAACTAGCTTGAGTCAACCAAGACCTGGAGGCTGGATTGTCCCCAAAGATACAAGTCTGCATGGTTGAGTGATAAATATTTGAATGAAATTCAGAGCCCTTTTATCAAGAGGAAATGAAAAGAGCAAAACTTAGGAAATCTCTATTACCAGCAATAGATATATTTTCTATCACAGATCACTGGATATTCTAAAAACCAGCAGAGAAATGCAAATATTGATTAATTAAATCTACTGCCATAAACCATAAGAACAAACAAAAGCATTGAAAATTCAATTTCCTAGGCATTAAGTGACTGCTATGAAGAAGGCACTGTGCAGGTCATTGATAAAGAGACAAACAGCTGCAAATATTTTTTAAAGTGGTACATTTGACAATAACTCAACATATCTGACATGCTCAATGCTTTTAGATGACTCTCATTGAGGGAATTAGAAAATGGAGCTTGCTTATTCTAGATCAGAGGTTCAAATCATACCTACTTTTATTCATACCCATGAAAGCACTGCTGATTTTGAAATGTTGCATTTCAAAATCACCTGCAAAAACCCTGCATGTCTTTCTTGAATCTCCTCTACAGGACGTAGCACGTTTTTTGAACACTTTGGATGACATTAAGGGTATTAACAATCCAAACCACCCTATGCCATTTGTGAGAAGTATTGGTTTTATATTTATATTGGCATTGAAACCTTGGGTTATCATCTTCCAAAAAAGTCTTGATTTTCCACTGACTTTCAGGTTTGTTTTTGCGAGAGGATCAAATACATTTTTTTTAAAAGTAATGTGCATCTTTTGAGCACCTACTTTCACAATTGTTTTTCTTACGAGTATAAAATAGTATTATTGTTGTCATATTATTTTTCTAATTCTTTTCGACAAGCTTATGGAAAGACAACATATCTTAATCCCTGTGCTATGTCTCTCATATATTATACTTTCTTGTGTGTTAACCCTGCCTACTCATTGCAATTTGCTAGCTTGAAAAATATGTCCCTGACCCAGAGAGACACACAAAGACATACACAGGAAGAACACTGCAGGAGAAGGTATTTAATGTAAGAATTGCATGCCAGTCATGCCGTGGCTTGTCTCTAACATCATTTTCCTTGCCTGTTTTATCTGTTTTTTATATGCATTTTCAGATTGTAACACTGCTTCATTGACTAACTTAACTCTGAACTTGTTTATGTATTTTTACCTAGTGTTTTGAGTAATTATTTTCCATACTGGCAGCTTCACCTCATAAACATACCCTCATAATAGATCTGATTAGTACTTTACCTTTACAAGCAAGCAAATAGTGGCAAAATTAAATTAGAAAGTTGTGGGTTGGTTTGTTGTTTTTTCTGTATTGATAAGCCTGAATACAGACATTGCATATGTTATTTGGACCATTCAAAGACATCAGGACTAAAGTCTCTGCAATTCAATGTACTTTTTCTTCAAAGGACCATTTATTTACAGTCCAAAATGGCTGCTCTGGTTGTAGGTGTCATGTTCACATTTAGGACACAGGAAGAAGGAAAACAGGGATGTAGAAAGATGTGGTACCTGTGCCGTGGAAGCATCATTTCCAGAAACCCCTAGCACATATCACACTGGCCAGAACTAGAGTTTCATAGGTAATGAAGAAAAGGGAATTGAAATTGAGTAAGGAATTAGACATGCCTGTCACAAACTGTGAACTACCCTGAGGTTTGTCCTGGGCACATCCACAGCCTCTTCCATTGTCTAGTACATCTTCCTGCTGAAGGTTCTGACTTCACAGATAATAACACCAATAGGCTATGAGGTCTACCCTAAGAATGTTGTTCTCCAGGATACTTGTTTCTCTGGCAAGCTGAGCCACTGGCATTTATGATCTCCTGTATGACAAGAGAGTAATTAACCTACATGCTGTCTGGGTGTTCTCTCTAAGAAATCCATGGGAGGCACACTGGATGTATCAGGAGATGAGTTCTTTCTTTCAACACTATGGATTAGAATAGCAATATTCTCTAAATCGTGTACCAAGAAATCTTGGTCACATCACCTTAAAATGATATAGCATAGATTCTACTGATTCACCATATCTAGTTCACTAGGAGAATGATCATCACAAAACCCCAACTTGGGGGTCTCACTGAATTACGAACTGGCCCATATTATTAGCAGATAACCTATGCTGGGGCATCTCAGCCCAAATGTGAACTAATCATGGAATTACAGACAGAAATGATATGAATCTGCGTTAGTACTCACTCTCCATCTGAAATGCTAGAGTTATTTCTGACCTGGCTCCAAACAAGTGACTATGACCTGATAGAATACAGCCAGCATAATTGTCCATGGATTTGCAGATGACTATCCACTTCTCTGATATAGAGTATATAGTTATCTAGAACTTGGTTCTAAAAGCAGGAAATGAACAAATTAGCTCTTCCTAATTCCTCACTGTTTCTCCCATCCAAAACCCAACACCTCATTGCCTCTATAGTTAAGGCCTGGGATCTGGTCAAGTGTATGTATCTTTCTTCCAGGTGGAGGAGTCTAAGAAGTATATCATCAAGAATGCATAAAATGATTTCATCTTCATGATTTTGTTTCTTTAAAGAAACAAAAGTAAATGATTATTTCAGTATCTATGTAGTTATGATATATTGTTACTATTTAGATTTTATTACTATTCTTGCTTAGGAAATATTCATTGGTTTGTAACCTCAACTGCATGTTAGCATTACCTGACAACTTCTAAAAAATATACTGAGGCTTAAGCCCTACCCTTAGAAATCCTGATGAAATCAGTTTGGAGTAAATACAGATGATTCTTTCCCGCAGATTTGAGAATCACTCCACCAAACGAACCCCTAATAAACTATAGTTCACATTTATTAAGTGCCTAGTCAAGGCTGGTTGAAGTTGACTTTCCAGAGAAATTTTAAGTTGTAAATGTGCATGAGAGTTATGAGTAGGATACTCTCTTTATGACAAGGTTTAGACAATTTGAATAGCAGGTGATATTAGATGCTAAGCTTCTGCAAGTCCCTGCCATACTTCAGCATCATGCCTGTTCTACTAGAAGTGGTGTAGTGGTATATTTAAAGATTTCTTGATACAGAGCTTGGCCTTATATTAAGCTGATGCTTGAATATTCAGAGTTGATTCAAGGACAACACCTTCTGTCTGAATCCAGAGAAATATTTGTTTAAGCAGTCCTATAATGTGAGTGCTTACTTTATGAACAAAATATTTGGATTTGAATTATGTTGAATTATCTTCATAAATGTGGCTGCTGTCTTGAAATATCTGCCCCCCCCCCCCCCCTTTTTAAAAACAATACATTAAATTTTGAACCTTTACCAAAAAAAAAAAAAAAAAACAGCTATGTTTTTTATGTGTTTTGCTTCTGCTGTAATGGTTCACAATGCTACTTTATTTAGCAGTGTGAACATGTTAAGACAGAGTTCTCTGTTACTTGGAAAGGAGTTCACTTTTCCCCTGACAATGCAGTCCTGGCTGTGAATGTCTCTTAGCCTATGAGTAATCATAGCTATTCTCTTGGATCAGAGCACTCACTCTCAGGACAAAATTAAGTTACAATAGCTTTTTCACACTTTTACTCAGAGCACACTGACTCCTGCAACCAAAACTGTCACACTTGTTTTTTATTTCTCTGCCCAGCACTACACTCTAGAAATCAAGAGGTAACATATAACTCTTCCTCAATTACATGTACACTGACTGAACCCATCATAAGGAAGAAAACAGAAGTCTGTGTCTCCTCCAGAAAGCTAGAGAGTTAGGTAATTCAACTGTTTTTGTTTCTGTATTTTACTGTTTAAGTCCATGTATCCTATATTTCTCTAGTCCTTGCCCT